TTCGAATACAATAAAGTATGCAATGCCAGAAGAGTCTTCAACCCTCAACTTGAGCTTATATCTGATGAGTAATGTAAGTATTTTGAATTTAAATGCATTATTAGCACAATAAGTAATAGCATTGTTAACTTGGAAATAAGAGAAAAATATAAAATAATAGGTGTTTAGCACTACACCTCTTGCAAGTTTTGATACAATCTTCATTGCATTTATCACATTTAAACCTGCCATCAACTACGCGTACATTGGAGACACATTTAGGACATGCATTAAAGAACCAACCTTTCTCCGTTGAGACTCCTAATATAGTACCAACCACAAGGTGCTTTCCTTTCTGTAGAAATACACATTTTATACTATTTCAAATAATATTCAGATTCGATGATGTAAAATATTTGAAATTAAATACCGAAATAGATAGTGCTACATTAGTAATCTATAATGGTAATTATTTACCTCTTCAATATCAAACAGTTGGTTGATTGGTATTTTGTGATACTGGTGAAGAAAAAATTTCCTCTTCAGATTTGGGAGGGTCACTGCTTTGTGTTAACCTCTCTGTTACTTTTGGAAATAGTTTCTCAATTCTTACGAATAAATGAAAATATGATTAGTATGCAGTACATACCTACCGAAAAATAATTCCTTTCAAAAAGAATATGTAGGGAAAAAAATTATTACCTGTCTCCGAATTGTGAAATCACCTCATTGTCCTCTCTGAATTCAATTCTTGAGGCATTAAACCAACTGGAAACTGAAATCTCATCTACAATAAATTATTTCAGAATCTCTGATTATTTTATTGCACATAGTGACGTTGAAAAAAAAAATTGTGCTCTATTTCATGAATCTAAATATCTTTCCACTCTCTAATTATTCCAAAGCATAACCGAATCACAAAAGGAAATTCATTCTTTGATTCTTTATGTTTATTGAGTCTGCTATCTACTTCTTCACCAAATTTGTCCCACAAATAACAGGTAATCTGGGACCCTCTTTTGAGGGTCAAATGGAGCGTTAGAAATGAGAGAATAAAGTATACATAATTGGATGAAAAATAGGATACATATATATGAAATTAAAGATACTTAAAGGATACTTACTCTTCATCCGCAAGGGTTAATTGCAATCTATTTTTTGTACCCCCGGCCTTCATATTAACTGGGTTCATCTTCCGGTAGGTGACCTCCCCCATTATATTAACAGAATAATTTGGGTCAAATTTTTTAAATAATATGTCATCGAATTTAGCGCATTGAAAATTAAAAGGCGATATGTCGAAATCCTTTATTTCTTCGACAATCGTTGACTTAGTGAATAGAAGTTTGAAACTATGGTTGCACAAGCGGAAGCCATACACATTGCGTCTAACATCCAATTGTTTGATGCTATAACAACGTTTGTCGTAAAAAGTCTTGCGGAATGAGGCATTGAAAAGATTGGGCGGTATACTGCATTGTATGTAGTGTCCCTGAAAATATAAATTAAAAGTATTATGAACAAAATTGAGTATATTAATATATACCTCTGAATATTTCAATATGATTAATATGCAGTAAATAAAACAATATATAAAAGTTACGAAGTACTTCGTACGTAGTATTATATATTATAGATTATAGATAATGCGTGAGACTGGTTAAAGGAGATGCATCACTGTAAAAATGTGTGCTAATTGAGCGCAACAATACAATATAGATTATCATGTTACAGATTTCCAGTATATTATTGATTTTTTTAACCGAGTCACGGACACAATGAAATTCAATGTGATTGCTTTTCTCTATTTATCTAATTCAACCTATAATAATTAACACTATTTATAGTGTTATCTAAATAATAACTATTTAGATAACACTATTTATATAAGTAAGTATAATTATTACGGTACTGTCATGTAATTGAACCTATAGTGTTAATTATATTCATTGACACCAAATTTCATGCCTCTAACATGATTAATTTAAGATATTCATATGCAAAACATAAGTAATAAATCTATAAAATTGCTGCAATTTAAACATACCTTTTCATCAATTAAAAGTAGTTCATAAGAAATAAATTGATTCGGATTGGACTGACGAAAACTATCCCAATGAGTGACCAGCCTTGCGCGTAAAGACCAGATTTGCTTTCGATTAGAGACCTCGTTGATGCAATCATATTGCACCATGGAAGATGGGTGAGAAATAACCATTATTTTAAGTGTAATAACTCTCTGGTTTGTGATGTTGAATGCTAATTGGTATTTGCACTGCCGTAAATGTTTTATTATTTATACAGGTTGATTCATAAGGGATACGGCAAGATGTTTGAGAGTTGAGTTCTAATAGCCTTGGGAGTGTTTAGCTTCAGCGAGATGGAATTTGAGTCCTATTCCAAATGACTTACTCTGTGTTATGTGAATTAATAGACCTGGGAATTTATCTTCACGGATTTTAATTAAATTCGTTATGGAATTTAACTTTCGTTATGTGAGTTTTCCGTTATGTGAGTTTTCCGTATTCACATAAATTCGTTACGGATTTTAATTAAAATGTCATTTTAATTAATAGACCTGGGAATTTATCTTCACGAATTTGAGTCCTATTCCAAATGTCATTTTTAATTAATACACCTGGCAGTTTTCCTTAGTTTTAGGATTACCGAGAAGTTAGAATTTATCATATTGACTTTTCGTTATGTGTGATTTAAATGATTTAATATAGGAGTTTTATTCCAACTTCTCTTAACGAATAAGATTGTGACACGTCAGCCCTTTAAAACTGAGTTTTACTATTAAAACAATAGATATTTTCGTTGTTATTAAATTCTGGTACTCCTAGTTATTGTGTTATGAATCTTTTGGTACATATGATCCACATTATGCCTAATGTAATTTGGTAAAGGTGAATGACAATTGTCCTTGACGGGTTGTACAACGGCTTTGATCGCTATGAGTCAGATTTGTACGTGATACGCTGACACGACTTTACTTGATTAGTTGACTTACTACTATTCAAATATAAAATTTATTACTTGAACAACATGAGTTTGAGGAGTTCAAAATCAAACTCAATTATAATACCACATGGGCTTGACTAGACTCAAATATACCCTAATGGAATGCAAATTTTATCCATTTTTAAACTTACTTTTACATCATTTATCGCGTTGGAAAGTGAAAAAGAATCATATGAATTACATAATTTAACTAAACATATAGTCAAGTTGAAAAACAAGAAGCATATGATTGATTGTGTGTAATCCATGAAACATCATTATATTCCAAAATAAACTTCTATTTTCTTTTTTTTATATAAAGAATTTGTGATTCACAATAAATCTTACACATTCTTACACATTTAAATCCCCCATGCACAATTTTACATAACTCAATATTCACTATCTTAATCTCCGTGTCAAATGTGCTTTAGAAGTTAATTTAGGGAAGGAGAAGTACATTTTACCCTTCTCTGAGTTCTCTCCCTTGATCAAACATACTTTAAAGATGCCGCCACATCTTTAGGCTATTGTGACTTTTTGCCTTGTTGAATTGAATTGGCTCTCTCAATTCAATATATCCCTCATTTTCTTGTGTGGTGACCACTTGCCTGGCTTCATAGTCATGAAGAATGATAAGCCGCAATAAATACATGTTTGTAATTTGGAAATTTCCCTTGCTAACCCTTAAAGAAAGATAAAGTGTAATTACGTTATATATTAATTAATTATTATGTATATATATACGTATATACTAGAACACAAAACGATCACCCACCATCCGTTTCTTTTCCACGTCTGGTCTAGGTGGAGAAAATACCCACAAATATTTGGTACGCCATATCCATAAATAATGATTAGGTCAATATATTAGCATGATATGCTACTGTTTCAAAAACAATACTCCGCAATACGATATCTATTTTTAGATTTCAAAAAATGTTTTATACGTAGTATACTTCAATACATACCAAAATACTGAATACATTACACAAAATCCGGAGTATAAGAGGAAGCGCTCCATCTTAGGTTATCGTTAACTCAATTCTCATAAGGGAGATCTCGGGTTCAAAACTTTTGACTTTGTTTACCCCCAAAGACTTTCCGGACCCTCCGGCGTAATATTAATATTTTGATATATCTTATGGTCCAATGATGGTAGTTTGTAATTTATTTATGTTTACACAATAAAAGGTGCATTAGACAATCCAACCAATTTCGGTCACAGTTATGCTCACAAAGGAAAGTTCTCCAAATATTACTAAACCATAACACAATTTCCTAATAAAAGTGTCGTTATTTTCTTTTTAAAATAAGACTTGTTCACATTAATTTTGTGAAGTTTACCGTTTTATTTCTTTTAACAAAAAGAAAAAATAAATCTTCTTTTTGAAAGAAAACGCATTTATTTACTACTATTTTAAAACGAATTCTCAAAATATGCTTTTGGTTATTTAAGAATATATCGAATGCATTATCAGATCCTTACCATATGTGATTGTAAAATATAGACATTTTCAACTTTAATTTTTAGATAATAATATGACTCATCACGCCATCAAATAAGGCAAAATTATGAACTAGAAAACGGTCGTTTGTATATGCCGTATATATATGACTTCGCACCAAAAAAGACTAAAATCTTGACAATTTAGTGAGAAAGGCACAATTTTTTTGTCATACAATATAACGATCATTTATTTCTTTTTTGGGATATCTCAAAATGATGTTCCTGTTTCCCTTTTTGGAAAGAAAGATGTGATCCATATCATTTCACTTTATTATACTCAAATAAAGTATAATAAAATTTTCTCATATATTATTTCTTGAAATTAAAATTTTATTTTGGTATACGGACAACACGGCACAAGGTACGCAAGAGTCTCTGATAGAAGGTGCAAAATAGTGGGGGCATCCATTAAGGAGAAGGCGGGTGGCAGGTAGCCCTACCCCTCTCCACCACGCAGTTCCATAAATATAAATAAATATATAAAATCATTTTCTTCTCTTCTGAAATCAAAATACCCAAGACTTGTTTATTTATGAACATGGCAGCTTTTTTTTCTTTCTTTTTACGATTAAAGTTTTTAATTAAATCCTTAGCAAGTAAAGAAGCTTCACGCTTTGCTGTTCTTGAATCTTGAAACCGCTTTGTGTGCATCGGTTCAACATCCATTGGCGTAACCACCCCAACCCACTCTTCCTTACCATAAATCTATCTGCCTTCTTTAAAACCGTCATCAGTTACTCCTCTAAATTTTGCATACAAGCATTTCTGGATCAATCCCAGATCTCTTGATTTCAAAGGGTATTCTTTTTCTGCTTCTTTTTGCTTCATTTTTTATGCTAGTAATGGAGGTATAAGATTTACACAGTTTGTAAATCTTTGCAGGGCAGATAAGGAACCGCTTCCTTGAATTGGGCAGATTTCTCTTTTCGGTAAATTTCTAATTGTGTTGTATATTTCGATTTCTATTACGATCAATTATCTAGAAGGAATTGCTAGTACTTTAGATTGATGTTTTTCTGTTTCCTCATGTATTATAGATATAATTTTATGCTACCTAGATAATAAATTTAGTTAGGTGAATTGCATATTTTAATTTTATCTATGAGCCAAACAGAGATTTGAGTGAAAGGTGCATTCTTTTTTCCTTTGGGGTAATTTTTAGCAACCAACCTTTCATTCAAGTGTGTTTTTTCAGACTTTGGATTCATGTATGATCTGTTGTTGAAATTATGAGCAAAAAATACTGCTCATCCGTCCAAAAATAAAGTTTTGGTTGTAAAAAAAGAATTTGTCAAAAATATCAGATTTCATAAAAGAAGGATAATTTTAATTTAGTTTGTTAAAAAAAGTTCCACACAAGCTGAATACAATAAAATTACAATGTAATAAAATAAAGTAGGAGTCCAGGAATTTTAAGACTTGATTTATCAAAATTTATGTGTTGCACCTTCATTTAAGAATGACTTCATTTTTGGGGACGGATCAATATTGGTGACCATTTTAACCAATTCAAACCAATTTCTATGGGGAATCCAATCTGTTTTACTGCCTCTTCTACCTTTTCCTTTCACAGTTTTGTTTAGTGTAGAATTAACCACTGTGCAGGTTTATTAGATAGGGAAAAGGAGAAAATGTTCTGTCCTTCATGTTTGCCTTCTATGTGCATATATGTGCCCTTAAAGTTTTTTTAGGTGCAATATATTCCTAACCCTTCACTGTAGTCTGTAGGAGCAGATTGGCACAGTGGCACTGGCGTGTTTTAAACAGAATCTGGAACAAATATTATCAAAATCACAAAAAAATGGTGTAAACATGATATAAATTGAAGAAATTATTTAGCTTTTAAACTTAGCACACATAAATATTCTATTTGTTTTAATTGCTTGATATTTGTTATTTTTATAAATAAAAGTATTTGTTTCAATGTGAATTATTACTAAATATGGTAATTGGACTGGAGTGCCACTTCTTCAGTGCATGTGTTTGATGTTTGTGCTTTAAAAATGGAAGCGATGCTTAGATTACTTAGTGCATATGCTCTCCTCCTTTGCAGTTGAGCTTCTGTCTTGTTGTGTGCTTAAAGACTTACTGTTTCAACAATGCTGGGAGAGAGCAACAACAACAACAATGTTCTTCCCGTTTTCCTGGACCAGAGTGGCTTCAAGTACCCTACTAATGGATCAAATCAGCTCCAGTTGTTTGGTAACTGTATGTTGCTTTGATTTCTCTCAGTCTATTTGATACTTGATTTTATTAGCAGTATGTTTGCTTCGTCCATTGCCTTTCGGTACTTTTCTACTCCCCCGAATAGTTTTGCTTGTGTTACAGTATGTTTCCCCCAAATCCTCTGAGGTTATGTTTGGGAGTTTGGAGGGAATGGAAGGGGAAGGCTTTGGAGGTATGTTGTTGGAGGGGAAAGGGAGGGGAGGGTGAGGAAACCCTTCTTTGTATTTGGGAGTAATAAAATTGGAAGTAGAAGATTTTTGAAGGAATTATAATTAAATCACTTTGAGATATGATGAATTCAAATCATTGAGTTGATATGCATTTTTAATTTAGCTTAAATGACCATCTTGTTAATTATTCACCAAAACCTTCCAAATTGGGGGAACAAATTGGGGGAACTTAGGGTGTGTTTGGGAGTTGGGTTTTGGATGAGAGGGGGAGGTTGATGGGGGTTTATAACCCTCCTTTTTATGTTTGGGAGTTTATAAAACTGGAGGGGATGATTTTGGAGGGCTTTCATGATCCTCCAAAACCCTCTAAATGCCTAATTTTTAAGTTCTCCCAATTTGGAGGGTTTTGAGGGATAATTAATGAAATGGTAATTTAAGCTCAATTAAAAATAAATATCAGTTCAATTATTTAAATTCGTCATATCTCAAAGTAATTTTAATTATAATTCATTCAAAAACTCTCTTCTTCCAAATTTATTACTCCTAAATACAAAGAAGGGCTTCTTCACCCTCCCCTTCCTTTCCCCTCCAACAACATACCTCCAAAGCCTTCCCCTCCCCTTCCCTCCGAACTCCCAAACATACCCTTAAGGGTGTGTTTGGGAGTTGGGTTTTGGAGGGGAGGGGGAGGTTGATGGGGGTTTATAACCCTCCTTTTCATGTTTGGGAGTTTATAAAACTGGAGGGGATGGTTTTGGAGGGCTTTCATGATCCTCCAAAACCCTCTACAACAACAACAACATCCAAGCCTTAGTCCCAAAAGATATTGGGGATCCTCCAAAACCCTCTAAATGCCTAATTTTTAAGTTCTCCCAATTTGGAGGGTTTTGAGGGATAATTAATGAAATGGTAAGTTAAGCTCAATTAAAAATAAATATCAGTTCAATTATTTAAATTCGTCATATCTCAAAGTAATTTTAATTATAATTCATTCAAAAACTCTCTTCTTCCAAATTTATTACTCCCGAATACAAAGAAGGGCTTCTTCACCTCCCCTCCAACAACATACCTCCAAAGCCTTCCCCTCCCCTTTCCTCCGAACTTCCAAACATACTCTTAAGAGTGTGTTTGGGAGTTGGGTTTTGGAGGGGAGGGGGAGGTTGATGGGGGTTTATAATCCTCCTTTTCATGTTTGGGAGTTTATAAAACTGGAGGGGATGGTTTTGGAGGGCTTTCATGATCCTCCAAAACCCTCTAAATGCCTAATTTTTAAGTTCTCCCAATTTGGAGGGTTTTGAGGGATAATTAATGAAATGGTAATTTAAGCTCAATTAAAAATAAATATCAGTTCAATTATTTAAATTCGTCATATCTCAAAGTAATTTTAATTATAATTCATTCAAAAACTCTCTTCTTCCAAATTTATGACTTCCAAATACAAAGAAGGGCTTCTTCACCCTCCCCTCCCTTTCCCCTCCAACAACATACCTCCAAAGCCTTCCCCTCCCCTTCCCTCCGAACTCCCAAACATACCCTAAAAGTTAAACATTTGGAGGACTTTGAAGGATTACAAAAGCCCTCCAAAAGCATCCCCTCCAATTTTTTAAACTCCCAAACATGAAAAGGGGGTCATAAACCTCTATTAACCTTCCACCTTCCCCTCCCCTCCAAAACCCAACTCCCAAACACACCCTTAGGGTGTGTTTGGGAGTTGATTCTTGGGAGGGAGGGGAAGACATGTGAGGGTGGATGATCCTCCTATTTGTGTTTGGGAGTTTTAAAATGTGGAGGAATGGTTTTGGAAGGTTTTTGTGACCCTCAAAAACCTCCCAAATGGTCGATTTTTTAAGTTCCTTCAAAATGGGGTTTTTGAAGGACAACTAACTAAATGATAATTTAAGATCAATTTAAAATGAATATCAATTCAACTATTTTGAATTAACCATATCTCAGAAATGATTTTAATTATAATTTCTTCTAATACTCTCTTTTTCCAAATTTACTACTCCCAAATAAGAAGAAGGGTTTGCTCACTTTCCCCTCCAAGAGCTTACCTTCAAAACCTTCCCCTCTCTTTGCCCCCAAAATCCCAAACATACCCTTAAAGTTTATCATGAATGAATAATGAGGTATTAGTTTCCTAATTTTGAAAGCCATGAACTTTCTTAAGTTATTCTCTGGGTTCTGGCTCCTCTTTCAGTCATAGAGCCTGTTAGGGATGCCTTGTGCTGTAAGTGCTTTTATATGAATTGTTATAAAGTGCTTCCTCAATTAAGCACTAAAAACCCGTTTTCTCAGAAAGCTCCAACCTGATACTTCCTTGAGCAAAAAAGTATTCTTAGAATTGAAGAACTTTTTTATTTCCCTGCTAGACACTTCTTTTGAAGTATCATCTAAAAATATTAATAGTTCAATTTATCTTTGATCAAGATGCAGCACCAGTTGGTTTCAACATCAGCCCCACAAATTTCTTTGGTAGCGAACATAACACCCCTCTGGTCAGGCCAAACAAACGGGGCAGAGATGCAGAGAACATTCCTATGCAGCAGATTCTTCCAATATCCATGAATAATAAGAATAATAATAATAATTTTGGTGTTGATGAAGCTGATCAACTGGTGAGGATGTCCACACACAACCAAGTCTCAACAGGTTTAAGGCTATCATATGATGATGATGAACACAACTCTTCTGTCACATCAAATGGATGTATGAATGCTCCATCATCAGTTATGTTGGCTTTAACAGAAGGCCTTAAAACGGAACTTGACCACCAAAAGAGAGAGTTTGATCAGTACCTCAAGACTCAGGTAATTTGGGTTCACAATAGATTTACTACTGATGCTTTCTTTCCCTATGATACGTGCTGACAATGGAGCTTTTGGTAATGCTGTTTCTTAATTGTTTCCTGATGTTTGCTTTATTAAGGGTCCGTTTGCTATCCGGACACTGCTAGTGAAGGGGGAAATGGAAAAAATAGAGGGAAACTTTCAAAGTCATTTTGAGAGAAATTCGATATTTGTTCAAAGTCATTTGTTATCAGTTTTTATTCTACAGAGTATATACAAGTCTAAATATATGTAGACAAAAGTATAATTTAATCGAAAAGGTCATTTGTTAGTCTTTGTCCCTTTCCCTACCACTTTCTTGGGTACAACACGTATCTTAAAACATTTTCAATGTTAGACATCAGGTGATTCCCCCAGCTCTGACTATATGAAAGGGAGTAGACTGGTGGCACTTCCTGTGCAAACTATGACTCCAGGCAAATAAAAGAGTTCGATTTGGTAAACTTAACTTTGATCCCAAAAAGAAGAATATCTATCATTGATACAGAAGCTAACTTTCATTATATTTAATGTATTCTTTGTTTTACAAATAAAGATTATCTTTAAATTTAAAAAGAAATCATTCCAAATATGTCATCAGAATATGGATGCAACAACAACATCCAAGCCTTAATCCCAAAAGAATTTGGGGTCGGCTAACATGAATCGATCTATGATATCGATGCCAAAAAGAGAAGGCGGACAAGAAAAAGAAAAAAAAGTAAGATAAAATGTATAAAATAAAGACACATAAATATAAGATAATAATAACACAAGAATATAACCAAGATAAAAGAAAAATAAATAAAAGAACATAAAAAAGCTAGAAGATAAAAATAACATAAGAATATAAAAAGATAAAGAAGACAAACGATAAAAGAAACAAGAGAGGAAAGGTAGACAAGACATCAATCGTCCACATGGATGTGCGCCCTCCACTTTGCTCTCTCCAAAGCCATACTCTCATCCAACCCAAGAAGACGCATATCAGTTCTGATTACTCTAATCCAAGTCTGTTTGGGTCTTCCCCTCCCTCTCTTCTCTGACTCTTCTCCCCATCCCTCAAGTCGTCTAACAGGTGCATCACTCGGTCGTCTTCTATGCACATGCCCAAACCACCGCAAACGAGACTCAGAATATGGATAGTGGACAAAAATGTGATTCAATAACTTTTAGTGACTATAAAAGTATGCTCATAGTCACTTTAGTTACATTTTTGTCCATGAGTATTATTTTTAGTTATATATTAGCAAAAACCTCATTTAAATTTAGTATGTTAAATTTAGTTTAACCTACAAAATTCTAAAATATAACTTAAGGTTGTGGCTAAAACTCAAAAGTTGAATACTACTGAATTCACTAGAAATAATATTAACACTAATTTGATACTTTTAGGACAAACATAAGGAAAGTTTCCAAAGTTTAGTAGGACAGAGGGAGTATTATTCGTTTGTTGGGACGGAGATAATATACTTCCATGCTAAGTTCCATTAGTGACCATATTGCACCAATTTTTGAAAAGTTGTGTGAGGAGTACATTGGACTTATTTCCCTGATCTTGAAGTACATATATATGCTCATATTCTCATTTTCGAAACTTCAATATTCAACTGGTGTGTAACAGGAAGAGACTTTGAAGAAAGGGCTTCGGGAGATAAAGCAAAGACATATGGCTTCTTTTCTGGGTGCCATACAGAAAGGCATCAGCACAAAGCTACGAGAGAAGGACCTCGAGCTAGAGAACATCAACCGAAAAAACAAAGAACTCGTCGAAAGGATGAAGCAAGTGGCTTCTGAAGCCCAGAATTGGTGTTACAGGGCCAAGTACAATGAAAGTGTGGTTCATATGCTGAAAACCAACCTTCAACAGGCGTTGCATAATGCAGCCGATCAAGAAGCCAAAGAAGGGTTTGGCGACAGCGAGATGGATGACGTTAACTCTGGGATTTACCCGAACTTCGGCCTTAGCATGGCCGGTGTGGGCCCTCCTGTGCCGAATGGGTTTACTATCGCTTGCAGATTGTGTAAAGCGAAAGAAGTCTCAGTGTTATTGATGCCTTGTAGGCATCTGTGTGTGTGTAAAGAATGTGATGGGTCGGTGGGGGAGTGTCCTGTGTGCACGACGGTTATAACCACTAGTGTCCAGGTGTATCTGTCATGATGATGAAATTCCGACCTACCTACCGTATATGGCACAGTTGAATGAGTATATTATTAATATTATTATCACATACTCCGTAATATTTAACTTAAAACCATCTTTAATTTTTGTTTTATGTTTTTTTAATATGAAATGTAACTGAGATGTATACATATATGTAGCCTCTACCAATCGCTCTGGAGCTGCATTTAAATGGTACAAAGTACAAACATTAGAAACTAAGAGCCATCCTATTATTCGGCTTATCAGCCTTATCAGTTAAATTTTTCACCAAAAACTTTAGTTTTTTAGTTGGATTGATTGAATTTATAGTGGAAGATTATTTTAACTATTTTTCAATTTTTTATTTTATTAATAAAATGTATTTGAAATATAATTTTTTTCATAATTAAGCAGAATTGGCCAATCCAGTTTCTTCAGCAAAAACTTCATAAATTTCAGTAGAATAAGTCGATTCGTCCAATTTCAGTGTTACTAAATAGACTCTAAATGTTATACTAATAATAATAAAGATTCTCATATATAGTGAATTGTTGAAAGACATAAGGGTTTAGGTTGAATTGCTTGTCTAATTCACTAATTTTAAGTTCTATTTATACAAGTATACAACTAGGAGGAGAGCATATAATGTATGCTACTACGTATTTACTAACTACAATTCATAATTTCATACAATATATTCTATGGTTGTAGTTGAAATATGCATTAATAAGAAGAATAACAATTATAGTTATTTGGGAAAAGTGTCAAATAGATCCCTCTACTATTGCGAAAATGTCAATTACACCCACCAACACCAATATCCCTCAATTAGACCCACTAACCATTAAAAACCTGTCAAAATGTTATTTTAGCAGGTATCCTCCAAGTACCCGGTTATATTGCGTTTGTGGCATCTGACATGGCACTTTTTTTCTTTTTCCTTATTTTCTTTTCCTTCCTTCCTTCTTTCCCGCTCCCTTTCTTCTTCTTCCTGCATCTTCAAATCTGCAACTTCTCCCTTTGTTTTCTTTTTGTTTCTTTCTCTTTCCCACCCATTTTCTTTCTTACTCTTCCCAATCAATTTCTTGCTCGCACCGTCGCAAGCATCTGGTCTATGTGTCCTCTACGAATCCGAGCACTAGAGTCCTCCGAGCCGCCGCGTCACAGCTGGACCCGTAGAGGTTGCACCGCGAGAAATCGCCGTAGGCCGTAGCGGCAGATTCACTCGACGCAGCCGTCGCATCTCGTGTGTCGTTCGTTGACCTAGCTGAAGGCGTCTGTTGCGTCCTCCTACTGCGATGGGAGGCAGTGCTCCAGCCTCCAAGGCGTTACGAAGTCGACGGCGATCTCTAAAGACCTTGTTGCAGCCCTCAATCCCTCATGAACAATGGAGTTAGCTGTCCGGAGGTGTACTGCGTTGGGAAACAAAAGGAAAAAAAAAATATAAATGTCAGACATAATTTACCTGAGAATGGCTGAGAAGTAAGAAAGCTAACAGATCGGACTGGTGTAGTTGGTAGAGCCGCAGAGGAGAAAGGCCAGAGGAGAAGAAAGGAGAGAAAATAACAGAAAAAATAAATAAAAGAAAACGTGTCAGCCACGTGTACGTGTCTACCGGATAATTGTTGGGTGACCTATTAAAAAGTGAATTTGAACTTTTTTCTTAAGTTGGAATATCTAATTGGATGATATTTGAGTTCATGGGTCTAATTGACATTTCCTAAATAGTAGATGGACTTATTTGACACTTTTCCCTAGTTATTTATTTCCATATCCCTCGCAAGTAGGGATGGACTCGGGTCCGGGCCGGGCCCGGGCGGGCCGGCGGGTCAGAAATGGTGGACCCGGGACTGGCCCGGGCCGGGCCCGTTATATTTTTTTTTTTTGTTTTCCTCTTCCTAATTAACCCCCTCCCACCCCCAACCCCCCAAACCACCCCAAATGGCCCAAAATACCCAGCCCAACCCGAAAATTTAAAAAAAATTGAAAAAAAAGAAAAAAAAAAGTTTTTGGCCCGAACCGGGCCCGGGCCCGGCCGGGTCGGACCTTGTTTTGGGTGACCCGAGCCCGGACCGGAAAACCCACGGGCCGGGCCTACCCGGACCGGTCACTGACCGGGCCACCGGGTCGGGCCGGGCCGGAACAGTACCGGTCCCGGGCCGGTTCCGGGTCGGGCCACCCGTCCCGAGTCCATCCCTACTCGCAAGCTAGGTATTCGGGCGACTTCAAGAATCATGAGTTTGGTTTTGAAAAAAGAAAAGCGCGCCCGCGAAAGTGGTTTGGTAAGAACATAGCCCAGATGACCACGACACGAGAACCACATGATTTGATGAACACGAAGTCCATGTTGAACGTGCTAACGAACAAAGTGGAAGTCAATTGCAGCACGTTTCATTCTTGAATGGAAAACAAGATTTGTTGAAGACATGGTTGCACACTTGTTATAAAAAAGAAGAGTCGATTGGGAATGTAGCAGATGTCGTAGCTCATGAAGAAGTGAGTAAATCTAAAGAATTTCATATGTCATAGTGGATAGAGTACCATATTCAGCTTCAGTGGAGGACTTCACAATGGTGCGTTGCTTAGTAGATTTCCACGAAATGACTGATTGACTGAGAAAGATGGCATATGCACTAGTAGAAGCGGTCATCTAAGATTTCCAACCCAGTCAACATCAATATAAGCCCATAAGGGAAGCGATGAGCTTTGATAAAGAAAGAGATCATGAGAAGATGTGTCATGGAGATAGCGCAAGAGGTGTTTCACAAGCTGCTGATGTTAAATGTGGGCTTATGCATAAAATGAGCAAGTTTGTTGATAGCAACGATAACATCCGGTCGGGTGAGACTCAAATACTGAAGTAATCCGGTCACTTGACAATAAAGGGTATTGTCACAAGACCTCGAACAGTCAAACTATCAAATATAGTCAAAGAAGTCGGGGAAGTCAATGGTGTGGCTACAAGATTAGCATCATTCACTTTCAATATTTTCAATGTGTAACAAATTTGGTACTGATGGATAGTCTACCCGGGGGTATATATCCGAAGGGTTATTACGGGGAATAATTTAGAGAGAAGTCAGAGCAAGTGAGTAAAAGTAGAGAGAGAGTGTATTCAGTATGAATGCCATTTTCAGCGTGGTTACAAATGAGGAAATGGGGTGCTATTTATAGTAGCAATAAATGCCGGGCAGGGACACGTGTCAAGCGCTTATTGGCCGAGGGGTCACCTCAACTGGTTGGCGCTGGCAGCCGCATGTGGCCGCATTTAATGCGGCTGTTGGATGGGACGTCTGTGCGGGGTACGGTGATCTGTACGCATGTGAGGTGGATATCTTGTCGAGTGAGATGCCTTCGGCTATAGAGCAGTAGCCGAGGGCTCTTCCACCCGATGGCACCCTGGTGCCGAGGGCTCACAGTGCCGAGGGCTACTGTTTTCGCCGTTTTCTCCCAGTTTCTTAATTTGCTTGAGAAACCCGTTCTGTGAGAATTTGGAGCCTTCGGCCAGGGGGCCGAAGGCACCCCTGGCGCGTTGTGCGGACTGCTTGGTACTCTGGGCGCTGTGATTTGGGCCTGTTGGGCCTTCGCTGGAGTAGTAGGAGTCTGTGGGCCGGGGGTTCCCGGGCCATATACTCCATCAGGAGTCCCTCACTCCTTTTGCCGAAAGGTACTCGAGGGAAAAGGAGTAATTTGTGATTGCCCTTTGATGTTGTCCCGTCGTGATCTCTGAAGTTGGTGAGGAGTTATTGCTTTTATGTCCCTGCCGAAGGCAGTCCCTCAGTTACCCACATGTCGGGACTTGAGGGCTTGCTTTGTTGTTTGTTGGAATTTCACAGATTTTGTAATTTAATGATTCTCCCGAGGGGGTCCTCCAGTCCCCCACTCCTTGAGGCACTTGTAAAGTGGTGAAAAGGAGTAGAGTAGTTGCGTTGCTGTTGTGGGCCGAAGGCTGACGTTTTTCGTTTCATTTTGGGGGGATGCCTCGTTAAAAACCTCATTAGGAAAAACCCTTTGGGAAAAAATCCTAATGAGGGAAAAAGAGTGCACCGAATTCCCCCAATGATGAATCGAAAATGTCAAACCTTGGTAATAAATGGAGAATGGCGGGAATGCCGAAGGCTCTCTCTTCTGAGGGCTTCTGTGTCGATTAGCCGAAGGCTTGCTGTGGATGTCCTGGTGGCGCCGAAGGGGAGCCCCTCAATTCGGGGATCGAGGGCCTGCTGGATGAGGGCGACAATGGAGTTGTTAACGGGGGGTCCACTGTTTGTTGGTTAGTTGGTGATGGAGATACCCGAGGGCTCCCATTACCTGTGTGCCATGGGCCATCCGTCAATGAGGCACTCCCCGGGGGCTACCCGGTTTTGCAGTGCTAAGGGGGAATCCCCGAGGGGCGCCCTGATATGAAGCCTCGGGTTCTGAAGGAGTGATTCCGAAGGCGACTGTTATGTGCTGTGTGGGGCACAACCCGGGGGCACTTCTGAGTGAGGGTACCCGGAGGCTATCCTTGATGAAGAGGAGTGAAGTAGAAAACCCGGGGGCTTCCAAAATATAGCCGTTGGAAATATAGTCGTTGGAATATGTAACGACAGGATATAGCCGTTGGGGGGGTGGCACACGTGGCGTGTGATGGCTGGCTGTTCGTGGGCGGCGTCACCGGTTGGGTGAAACGACGGTGTGTAATGATGACGGTCCATCCGGAGGCCCGGAATCCAGGCCCAAGCCCGGATTCCATCGCCTATAAATACCCCAAGGCCAGGCATTCCTCCGTGTGCGAAAACTTTGTTAGCGAAGCTCTGCCAATTTTTCTAGAGAGAAACAGCAGCCCTCGGTTGAATCCTCCGTTCTTAAGGTCAGTTCTCCACTTGCCCTTCAGCTCTTAGCTACCTGTATTGTGCCCTTAGGCTAGGAGATAGGATATTCTAGGAAACCTTAGTTTTCCCGAGCCTTCGAACCAGTGAGCAGATGTCATCACAGAGCGACTCCCAGGATATCTCGGGGGAGCCTTCGGTAGAGATGGAGACATGCTCGGATGTGGAGTCGTCGAGCGTGGAGTCTTCGGCGGGTGGTGACGCCACAGTGGCCATGGAAGTGGAGAAGGACCTCCAGGCCGAAGTTGAAGCCGAGGGCTTCGAACAAGAAAACGAGGACGAAGAGCTTGCCCTCGCCGTGCAGACCGCCGAGCAAGAAGAGGAGAGGGAAAGGCTGAAGGTGACTGTTGCCATTCCCCCCCAACGGGGTGCCAGGGAAGCCAGCTCCTCCCGGCCATTGGACCCGACGCCCATAAGTGTGGCTCCCGGGAAGAAACACAAGACGAAGGCGGCCCCGAGGAAGAAGCAAGCGGCAGTGGATGCCGGGCGGCCGGTGGGCATACCCGAGGGCCATTCGTTCTTGAATACTGCCGCCCTAGAGCTGAAGACGAAGGCATCCCCGGCAGAATACCAGTCCACCCAGATGCTGGTTGGACCTTCCGCGCGCGTGGTGGAGCCTAGGGCGGATGATTTGCTGCGATACGCGCCCGAGGGGTGCTTTGCTGCTCACACCCTCTCGGTGGAGATGGGGCTCCGGTTCCCGCTCCATCCTTTTCTCTTGGAGTATCTGAGATTTGTTGGGTTGGCCCCTTGCCAGCTAACGCCCAACAGTCACTCCTACGTGGCCGGCTTCCTCTCCTTGTGTCAGAGCCGGGGGGTCGAGCCCACACTCGATCAATTCTTCATGTCCTTCAACCTTTGCCGGGGGGGACATTCAAATGCTGGGGGCTTTGCCAACCTTCAGCAGGTACCGGAGTTCCGGCTTTTTGATGATGTGCCCTCGTCTCACAAAGGGTGGAAAGAGAGGTTCTGCTACATCCGCCTCGAGGAGAACCCCTTCCCGGCCCAGCTCCGTAATAGCTTCCGGCGCCATCCGAAGGTGGGGAGCGCAGCTTTGGAGAAGAACGGCAAGGTGCTTGCCAAGAAGCCGGAGGGGTCTGACAAGCACGTCAAGATCAGAGAAGTCACCCTTCCGGAGGATTTGCTTAGTCTGGGCTTCCGGCAGTTCAGGCCGAGGGGCTCTTCGGATGAGAGATACCCTCCCCTCGATAGGGTCTTCGAAGGCGCTGGAGGTGATCACCGAATTGTTCACTGATGCGTTGATAGTTCTCTCTTATTCCTCTTTTTTTTTGACGTAGTAACTGGTAGCCTTCGATCTAACCCTCATGTTTTTTTTTGTTGCTTGCAGGTAACAATATGGACGTCGGTTCCCTCTTCGCTCTGAAAAATGCGAAAGAGAAGAAGAAGGCCCCGGCGGGCGCTTCTGCCAGGGAGGGGCCCTCTCAAACTGCTGGCGCTGCTGCTGGCGCCGGAGGGTCCAAGGGTGCTGGGCCCAGCAAAAAGAAGGTTGCTGGAAAGGGGACCGAGCCCCCGGCCAAGAAGCCGAAGACCGCCGCCCCTACCAAACAACCGATCACCGATGTGGTGGTGATCGTGGACGAAGGGCACGCTTCTGCCTCCACCCCCCAGGAATAAATCAATCAGGAGTTCTTTGGGCGGG